GGGAGTTTCTGTGGAACTCACGTCATCCTCACCCCCGGCGCGAAGAGCACGAGTCCAGAGCGGCCTCCGGCACCGTTTCCGGACAGATCCGGTGGATCCGCTGGATCCGCTGGATCCGGTGACGAATCCCAAACCGGCGCCCTAGCTTGAGACATCCTCACAAAACCGGCCCCGGGGGAGGTGCCCAGAGGAGCCCAGAGCGGCCTCCGGCACCGTTTCCGGACAGATCCGGTGGATCCGGTGACGAATCCCAAACCGGCGCCCTCGCTTGAGACATCCTCACAAAACCGGCCCCGGGGGAGGTGCCCAGAGGGGCCCAGAGCGGCCTCCGGCACCGTTTCCGGACAGATCCGGTGGATCCGGTGGATCCGCCGACGAATCCCAAACCGGCGCCCTCGCTTGAGACATCCTCACAAAAACCGGCCCCGGGGGAGGTGCCCAGAGGAGCCCAGAGCGGCCTCCGGCACCGTTTCCGGACAGATCCGGTGGATCCGCCGACGAATCCCAAACCGGCGCCCTCGCTTTAGACATCCTCACAAAAACGGCCCCGGGGGAGGTGCCCAGAGGAGCCCAGAGCGGCCTCCGGCACCGTTTCCGGACAGATCCGGTGGATCCGGTGGATCCGCCGACGAATCCCAAACCGGCGCCCTCGCTTGAGACATACTCACAAAACCGGCCCCGGGGGAGGTGCCCAGAGGAGCCCAGAGCGGCCTCCGGCACCGTTTCCGGACAGATCCGGTGGATCCGCTGGATCCGCTGGATCCGGTGACGAATCCCAAACCGGCGCCCTCGCTTGAGACATCCTCACCAAACCGGCCCCGGGGGAGGTGCCCAGAGGAGCCCAGAGCGGCCTCCGGTACCGTTTCCGGACGGATCCGCTGGATCCGGTGACGAATCCCAAACCGGCGCCCTCGCTTGAGACATCCTCGCGAAACCGGCCCCGGGGGAGGTGCCCAGAGGAGCCCAGAGCGGCCTCCGGCACCGTTTCGGGACAGATCCGGTGGATCCGGTGACGAATCCCAAACCGGCGCCCTCGCTTGAGACATCCTCACAAAACCGGCCCCGGGGGAGGTGCCCAGAGGAGCCCCGAGCGGCCTCCGGCACCGTTTCCGGACAGA